AGATTAACAAAAATTTGAGTAACAGCGGAAAAGGGCGAGAGTCCTGGCTGGGATATTTAAACATGAACAACTCTAAAATTGTAGACAATTTCGTTGGTCAATTAAAATCCACTATAAAGTGCATACACTGTGGTCACTCTTCAGTAACCTTCGATTCTTTCTGGGATTTGTCTCTCGCCATATCACAAAGAACTGACCAATCGAGTTTGTCACAATGCCTGGATTCCTTCACAAGAGAGGAAACTCTGGATGGAGATGAAAAACCAACGTGTTCGAGGTGCAAGGAAAGAAGAAAATGCACAAAGTCCCTATCAATCCATGAATTTCCCAGTAATTCAGTAATTCATTTAAAAAGATTCCCTCCAACGGAAAGATTCAGAGACAAATTGAATGTTGTCGTCGACTTTTCTTTAGAAGGATTAGATATGAGCAATTATGCAGCAGACAATGTGGCATCTTGTCGTTATAATCTATATGCACTTTCGAATCACAGTGGGACGACTTATAACGGGCATTAAACAGCATATTGCAGACACCCTTATAGTGGCTCGTGGCATGAATACAACGATTCCCATGTGTGCCCAATTTCACCTAATTCGCTTGTGAGTGAGAAGGCATAAGTCCTCTTCTATGAACAGGAGAGAACGAAGCAGAACTTTTGAGGTGTTTTTTTGTCTCTTAAATTCTGCTAATCGATCTGTGTGTTCTATAATAAAAAATTCGTATAGTTATCTTAATACAAATATGCTCAGAAAGTAGAGATTTCAACGAACAAAAAGCACACCGAATTTTTGAAAAAAGCTGATATTTTGACGCGAGAATTTTTCGATTTGAAATTAGGGTGCTCTTTGATATATAGACAAAATAAGGAGAAAAAACGAATATTTTGAATCAAATGAATTACAGTGTATTTGGGATATACAAAGGTGAGTTTTCACCAAATTTCGTAATTTTTTTTTCGAAAACGATAAAATTGAAAATCCAAAAATTTGATTATTTGAATTTTCACATAAATTTTGGGGTTATGTGAAAAAATTGTAGAAACAAAAGTTGTAGATCTTTTCATTACCTACAACTTTGCCATTCAACTTCTTTCCATAGGACTCGTAGTTTCGCCGGAAATCAAGATAAACCATTTTTACCCTTATAAACTCACCCCCTCCTACTTTCCCAACTCGGATCGTACGTGATTTATTTTCTTTTCATTTTTATCATATTCCCCTTCTTTTTTAATGGGTTCCCTCCTTCTATTTTTTTTTTCAGTTTTTACCATTTTTGAAGGCTGGTCTATTCGATTATTGAGCATCGAAATACACCAAACGGGCGATTATTTCTTTTGATTTTCTACTGATCGACGACCACTATTCTACTGAATAGTGGTCGTCCAGAAATGGATACAAACGATGAGGAGATTTGCGAATTTGGGGCTAGAGAAGATTGACGGAACAGCAGCTTCACCTCTATCACTTACTAACCACTTAAAAATTACTAGATGAAGATTATCTTAAAAGAATGAAATTTTGCGACGGTTGCTGAACGGAAAACAATCGAAATATTAGTTTCATTAATCATATTTTATTTAGGGATGAACCTACCTTCAATCAAACTGACATCATGAATCACCATGACTCACACATAAGGGCGGAAGAGAACCCTTAGGTACGCAAAAAAAAGACTCATCATTCAAGAGGCTTTCAAAGTCAATGTTTGAGCACTCATTTTCAATACTAATTCAATAGGACTAGTATTTCTGCCAAATAATTTAAATGCTGCAAATTACTAACAGTTCTTACGAAATGATTTACCAGAATATTTAGAAGAGGTAAATTTAGGAATGAGACAAAATATGTGGCATTTACAAGAAGGAGAAAGCTCCATTGCAACCATCGGCCAGTTAATCTTGGTGACAAGATCCTTTTTTTTTGGACTTTTGTCCAAGGGCACCAAAAATTATGATCCAGGACTCATTCGATTCGGAATGACATCTAGCAACTTTTTCAAAAATTTCAAGAGGGGCTCGAAAAAATCGCAAAAGTTATAAAAATTTAGTAATAAAAAGGGGGGGTTAGGTTTTTGCAGAAACAACCATGTGTCACTTTTTGTGTAAAAAAAATTTTCTCTATTTTTTACAAACTTTTTAATATTTTTCGTCTTTTGCAAAAAAGTGACACATAGTTGTTTTCGTTTTTTTTGATAGTATTCAAAAATTAATTTGTTTGAAACAAAATCAAAATATTCAAATGACGTATTCCTGAGACAATTTTAAGAAAAAAAGTCCATATGAACTTGTGTCCGGAAATACTTCGTTTCGGAGATTGAATTGAAATTGAATTTTTTTGTTCGCTTTTTGGAAATAACTATTGTAAAAAATAATTTATTTGCACGAAATTCGGTACCCGGGGTTTTTTTGACGTGGGAAATCATAATTTCGTGTTCATTTTCATCTAGAGGGCGATGCGTAATCTGTCATTATTTATTTCAAATTGCCCTAACTTTTTTGACAGTAAACTTTTGGTGCTTTTCATATAAAAACCTAATACCTTTTCCAAGTAAAAAATGTACACTTCCTCAACAGCGCTGGAGGTGATCGTTTTCGAGATATTTACAATTTTCTATATCGATGCATATTACCTAGCTCCTATGGCGCTAAGTGAAGTTGCTGAGAACATTACAAAAACAAAGTATGTGGTGGATCTAGTCTAAATGAACAACTTTTTTCTATGAAATATTTGATGAAAATAACTAAAATTGCAAAAAACTTATGACAAAAACCAACCATGACAAAAACCATCGATATAGAAAATTATAAATATCTCGAAAACGATCACCTCCAGCGTTGTTGAGGAGGTATACATTTTTTTACTTGGATAAGGTATTAGGTTTTTATATGAAAAGCACCAAAAGTTTACTGTCAAAAAAGTTAGGGTAATTTGAAATAAATAATGACAACGTACGCAGCGCCCTTTAGATGTTACATGAAAATTAATACGAAATTATGATTTTCCAAGTCAAAAAAACCCTGGGTACCGACTTTCGAGCAAATAATTTATTTTTTGCAAGAGTTATTTTCAAAAAGCGAACAAAAAAATTCATTTTCAACACCCCGTATCTCCGAAACGAAGCATTTTCGGACACAAGTTCATAAACACATTTTTTCTTAAAATTATCTCAGGAATACGTCACTTGAATATTTTAATGTACTTATGTTACACCCTGTATAAATAACAAAAAACTTTTTTTTCAGAATATCGAAGAAAAATGAAAATTATGATTAAAAAAATTATCGTTCCTTAACATTCATATTTAGTAGAAAAAAAATTGTGTTTTTAAGCAATAAAACATTTTTTTTAGAAACGGTTTTGTTTTTAAAAATCATAGTATTCATCACTCATAAAAATCCCTACAAAAAAGTTTCAAATATCTTATAAACAATTCATTTGTTTATAACAATTTTTCTAACAAATAGAGCTAAAAATTATGGAAAATCATTTTTATGTAACTACAAATAATACGAATACATTTGGATATCAATCCGAATCGAATGAGCTTTGGATCATAATTTTCGATGCTCTTAGACAGAAGTTTCAAAAAAAAGAATCTTGCGACCAAGGATATGAACCCTGAGCGTTGGATTGGAAGGGGCCCAGATGCACTTATTTGCTATCGGGGTTTTGGAAAAATCGGCGGTAAATTTTCGTTTTGAGGGCACCTGGCGATTTTGAACAAAATGTTTGAGTGTACTTACGTATTTTGATGCGTAGATTACGAATCCGAAAGCAAAAAGCGGCGCTCTCCCTTATTTACAAAGTTACGGCCCTTCAAAGTTCAGAAAAGGGCCTTCTTTTTCACCAAATAAACTATTTAAAAACGCAAGAATTTATTCACTAGTTCACCTTTACACCTTATTCCTCCTTCTTTGACACTTTTCACTTCAATAATCAACATTTTTCCAATAAAAATATTAAAAAATGTACGGAGCTGCTTTTTGGTTACATATCTCTCTATTTTACGTTTTAAAGGTTACTGGCATGGTTGGTACGACTGATACATTCAATATTCCTAAAGTAATTCAAATGTTTTTTACCTTCATTCTTTAGATCGTTTGGTTTTTGGTGGTGTATTACGAATTTGAAATAGTCGGCGGCGGCAAATACCAACCGCTTTTTTCTGAAATGTCACTAGCAACTAACCTAGAAATGGAAGAATGTCACCAGGAGAAGCATTCGTTTTTAAATTTAGTTTTTTATAAGAAAAATGTTGATTATTGAAGTGAAAAGTGTCAAAGAAGGAAGAATAAGGTGTAAAGGTGACCTAGTGAATCAATACTTGTGTTTTTAAATAGTTTATTTTGTGAAAAAGAAGGCTGAAAAGTCGTCCTTTTTTGAACTTTGAAGGGCCGTAACTTTGTAAATAAGGGAGAGCGCCGCTTTTTTCTTTCGGATTCGTAATCTACGCATCAAAATACTAAGTACACTCAAAATTTTTTTCAAAAACGAAAAAAAAAATTACCCCTAAAATTCGATTTTGTGTTTTCAGGAAAACGAAGGCCATTTTGTACAAATTTTTTATACCTGAATACTCAATTATTATAATTTACTTTTTGTTACTCAGAATTTCGGCCGCATCTCGGTAAAAACTGGATTTTCAAAGATGAAGAATTCAAAAATGATGTAATAAACCAATGGTGTCACGATACTAATTTAATTGTAACCCATAGAAAAGTTTGAGGGTTTGAGGGGTTCAATACCCCCATACCATTTTTATGGACTGAACATGTTCGTAATTTTTTTATAAAAAAAGATGCTCTCACGATGAAAAAGCCATGGATCCCTTTTCATTAGTAACTGTTGAAGAGTTCATGAAATATTGGAAAAAATCGATATTCATTTTGTACATTCCAAGGGCTGTAAGTATTTTGGTGTGCACATTTGCATTGAGGTGAATTATATCCAATCGAGTCATTTTTGACCCCAGAATATGTGGTTCAATTTATGACCTACCTTTTTGCTACACCCTGTATATTTCTTCAAAGCCTGTCAAACATTCTCTATCACCATATGGAACATTATCGATCAAATTATATCTATGAGAATATTTCATTTTAAGTGAGATAATATACGTTCTAACACTATCTGTAGTGAAGTATGATTTGCCGACAGAATGTTTAAAATCTTTTTTAAAACGGACGTTACGGAGCTGGTGATGATGATCGATGATTTCTGGCATAGATAATATTGAATTTTTGATCTTCAGTTGGTTTCTGGATGGGCCTCACGTTCGTTTTAATGTTATGTTGTTCACAAGGAGTCGAATGCAGACTGCGAAAATGTGCTACCTGAAATTGAAATGATTCATCAAAAGCTCAATAAAAATTCGTCTCAATAAAGATGATACAGTGTGACCCATTTTTAATGGAAACACCCCCCTAAAATTTGAAGTTGTAAATCGATTTTAATATTTTTTTTTTTAAATGTCAAGTACTGAAAGGTCTACCTTAGGACAAAATTTGAAATGTTTATTGAAGTTTCAGGGCATACTACGATATTTTTTCTTAGTCGAAAATCGGGATTTTTCATTAGCGATTTTTTTATTGGAAAAATCACTACGCCACTGGATTCAGAGTGCCTCTAAACAGGTGTGACCAAAATTTCATGAAAAAATATTCATTATTAACAAAGTTATGACAACTCAAAAATTCGAAAACTCACACAGCTAACAGTCACAAAAAACACCCAATATCAACAGATATAGCCATTAGAATATTTTTTTTATGATTTTAACAATAAAGTGCCGCCAGATGAAAAAAAAACAAATAGCGTAAATATTTTTGATGAAAATAACGGAATTTTCACGCAAATAAACTAAAACTAACACCTAATATTTCAATTTGAATCTTAGTTGCCATGAAATGATATTACAGTTTGACACTTGTGAAAGATTCAAGTGTACTATTGTCAACAATACTCACCTTACAGTTCTTCAAATTATTTTGTGCCATGGCTGCAAGATTGAGCGTAAGAGAGAAAATTGAAATTGTACGCCTTTCGGGAGATGACGTTAGAAGTGTTAGAGAGGTTTGTAGAGTATTTAATGAGAGACATCCAGATCGTCCTCGTATTAGCTGCGGTATGGTAAATAAAATATTCAATGAAACTGGTGCAATATCAAAAATGATGTTAAAAAATAATCCTGTACAAAGACGAAACAGGAATGACAGGAATGATCAAATCATTTTGGATTATTTCGGAAATAATCCTAATGCCAGTATAAGGAATGCCATTTTAGATTTGAATATTCCACGAGAAACTATTCGGAGATGTCTCAAGGCGAAGAATATTAAACCTTTCAAGCCAAAATTTTTGAACACACTTCAAGAAGGCGACGAAGCAAGACGCCTGGAATGTTGTTTATGGGCCCAAGGGGAATATTTAAACAATAGAAATTTACTAAAAAATATTTTATATACCGACGAAGCCACTTTCACTACAAATGGAGAAGTGTCATCACAGCATTGTCGCTATTGGGCAGCAGATAATCCTAACTGGGTAATAAACTGTAAAAGCCAGTATTGCCAAAAACTCAACGTCTGGTGTGGGATATTGAATGAACGATTTATTGGTCCTTTCTATTTTGGGGAAAACATTAATGCGCAGAGGTTTCTAGAATTTTTGAACCCAGAGTTTTGGGATGCTATTCACGAGCTGCTAATCAATGAACGATCAAATTCAATTGTCCAGTTAGATGGGTGATCAGTTCATTATGCCAGAGCTGTGAGACAATGGCTTATCCAAACCGATGGATAGGCCGTGGTAGTCCGTTCATAGAGTGGCCACCCAGATCTCCAGACCTCACAGTTTTGGACTTTTTTCTCTGGGGACTTCTCACACAAAAGGTTTACAAAAACCGCTCAAGAGATAGAAATGAACTTTGTGCAAGAATTCGACAGGTATGTGCAGATATTAGCCCTCAAGAACTAAGGAACGTAATCAGAAACATTCGTAAGCGCTACGACACATGTATCGGAATACGTGGTGGATTAGTAGAGGCTACTAGAATATGAGTTAGAATTAATTGTTGCACTGAATCGAAACATTTCAATAATTAGTTATTAGTTACGTTTATTAAAATTTTTTGCTTCATTGTTAGTTGAATTGTGTGAATGTAATTTCGTCATTTTCATTAAAGATGTTTACGCTATTTGTTTTTTTTTATCTGGCGGCACTTTATTGTTGAAATCATAAAAAAATGATATATTGTGACTGTTAGCTGTGTGAGTTTTCGAATTTTTGAGCTGTCATAACTTTGTTAATAATGAATATTTTTTCATGAAATTCCGGTCACACCTATTTGGAGGCACTCTGAATCCAGTGGCGTAGTGATTTTTCCAATAAAAAACCGCCAATGGAAAATCTCGATTTTCGACTAAGAAAAAATATCGTAGTATGCCCTGAAACTCAAATAAACATTTCAAATTTTGTCCCAAGGTAGACCTTCCAGTACTTGACATTTAAAAAAAAATTAAAATCGGTTTACAACTTCAAATTTTAGGGGGGTGTTTCCATTAAAAGTGGGTCACACTGTATATAATACATCAGGAAATAAGTATTTCGGAATACAATACAACTCAGATATCTTATATCTTAAATCAGAGGTACCTCAAGGATCCATACTAGGGCCTTTATTGTTCTCTATATATACATCCAACTTACTACAGGCTCTTCACACTTGTCAGGTGCACTTATATGCTGATGATACTCAAGTATACCACAGCTTTCCGGCGAAAATGGCAGACAATGCTTGTGGCATTATCAATGCAGATATAAATAGATTTGTTGAATTGGCAACAGACCACTGTTTATTTATGAACCCTAGTAAATCAAATGTAATGATCTTCGGTCCAACATTTCACCGTTCCATAATGACTAACTCTGCCAATATCTGAATTCGAAATGAGCCACTAAATATTGTTAGTGAAGCAAAAATCTTGCTGTTTTGAAGGATGTAGATCTGAGATTTGAAAAATTTATAAATAAACTCTTACAACGTACAAATGTCGAGGTAGTTGTTAAAATATATGTAAACCGCCATTTTGTAGCTGCGGCCATCTTCAATTCAAAATGATACAGATTTCAATAATTTGTATTGTCATCAAAACTAAATGTGTGTACCTACCAAATATCAGATCATTCTGTCAACAGGAAGGGGGTCAAACTTCAATTACTAAATTTGATACAAATAACTAAACAAACAAACAAACAGGTCGAGCTACATGAAACAGTCTAATTGATAACTGAGGGGTTCTTTGGAAAGTGATAAAATGAGAATGAGAAATTTGGAGTTGAATTGTTTTCAGTTTTTTGTGACTTTATTAATGAAATATTATTTTTTGAGAAAGAAAGTTTCTGGCTTTCTACAACTCCATCTTGATAAAAAAAAAGATGGATGAGGGAGTCTTCCAAAGAAAGGAGGGAAGTAACTCTATACATGGATGTGTAGATCATGCAAAGAAGTAACTTTCAGACACAAACTGAAAGAAAGTCCTCCTGAAACAGCTACTTTCATATAAACATTGAATTATACGAAAGAAAAAATTCTTTCGAAACAAATACTTCTATATAAACACTGAATTATACAGAAGATACTTTTCTCTACTCAGTTTGTATTTCACTGGTATACAGTGAGGATGGCAGTGTTCTATGTAAGTGCAATTTGTTACCATTCATTTAAAGTAGAACTCATGTGAATGATATCTGATTTTTATTCCACAACGAATGTTTGAAATACAAACTGAGTAGAGAAACGTATCTTCTGTGTACTTCAGTGTTCATATAGGAGAATTTGTTTCGAAAGAATTTTTTCTTTCATATAATTCAATATTTATATGAAAGTAGCTGTTTCAGGAGGACTTTCTTTCAGTTTGTGTCTGAAAGTTACTTCTTTACATGATCTACACATCCATGTATAGAATTACTTCCTTCCTTTCTTTGGAGATTCCTTCATCCTTTTTTTTTGTATCACGATGAAGTAGAAGAAAGGCCAAAATTTTTTTTTCCCAGAGAAGGATAATGTTATGTCAATTAGTTTCAATGAAGTGTTAGTCAAATCAGAATTGGAAACTAGAAAAAAACTAGTTTCCAATTCTGATTTGACAAGCACAAGAAGTAACAAAAACATTGTTTGATGAAGCTAGTTTGAATGTTCCTGAAAACAATCAAGAAAAGGGAAAAACCTGTCAAACGGGAAATCAGTTGAAAAATATCTAAAATATCAAGATGGAGTAGTAGAAAGCCAAAAACTTTCTTTCACAAAAATTAATCACTCCTAAAAAATAACCCCTTCAATTGAAATATTATCGAATAAGAAACTGAAGAACAATGATTGCCAAGTTCCATGTGGATCTGAATTCATTAAAAACTGTTCCTGACTCACAAATGATTAAAATATGAATGACACGTACCTGTTCTCGAGAAACATGAATAGGCTGGGGATATAGAATCCATGTTACACTCTCCGTATATGGTTCAGTTGTCAAAGAACCTTGATATGTGTAGTATCCCTTGCATTGAGCTTCTTCTTTAATCCAAGTCAAGCAATCTGAAAAAGAAGAAATAGAAAAGTGTATTTACAGTTCCAACCAGGAACTGAGCTGAATCAAACAACGTTTGGTATCAATGTAAAAGACATCACAGTGAAAGGACTGGTCATGAGGGGATGTCCACAGGGAGGGGTCTTATCACCCCTTCTTTAGAACATAGTTCTGGATACCCTCAACAATAATGGATTCTACACAACTGCATATGCAGATGACATAGTTATCATGTAGACTAGCAAATTCGTGAACACACTGTGCGATAGAGCGCAGGATAGGCTCAAATTGATAGAAATATGGTGTAAGGAACACTGACTGTCGATCAATGCCAAGAAGACTGAGATGGTCCTATTCACCAGGAAAAGAAGTTTATCGGGCTTCAAACTTCCCGAAATCTTCAAAAGCCAACTGAACTTCTCTGAAGAAGTGGTACTACCCTGGACAGGAAGCTAACATGGAACTCTCACCTACAGAGTAGAGCAAAAAGATCACATGTGGCCTATGAGCAATGTCGGAGGACAGTGAGGTACACATGGGGTCTTTCACATCTCGTGATCACCTGGATCTACACTGCAATAATAAGACCTATGTTAACGTACGGAGCCATTGCATGGAAACCGAAAGTTATACAAGCAACGGCCATCAAAAAATTATATCAAATACAGCGACTGGCTTATTCAAACATCACAGGAGCCATAAGAATAAGACCAACCGCGGCAATGAAATTAATTACTGGTTTGACCCCTCTGGACTTGTACGTTAAGGAAGCTGTGTTAATGGCCATGCTACAATTTCCCACGGCTGGTGTAAACCTTGAATTAGGAATGGGTCAATTCAGGCCTGAGCTTATGTCGAGAAGCGCTTACTGCGCAACCACTGCTGCAGGCAGTGATGCAATTGAACCCAGGTTTGTGTTTAATAAACCCTACAAAGTACAAATAAAATAAAACACACAGTCAGATGCTAAAGCGTGTTTTTTATAGAGGTATAGAACTTCAAGTTGCAATAAAACAACGATGGATTATTCGATTGACATGAATTTTATTTATCCGAAAGATAATCTTGTGGCATTACATTTTAAATATGATTTCTGGCATATGACCGCCACGGCTGGCGCGGATGTAGTCCAAGCTGGACGTCCAATTTTCGATGACTTTTTCCAACATTTGTGGCCGTATATCGGCAATAACACGGCGAATGTTGTCTTCCAAATGGTCAAGCGTTTGTGGCTTATCCGCATAGACCAATGACTTTACATAGCCCCACAGAAAGTAGTCTAGCGGTGTTAAATCACAAGATCTTGGAGGCCAATTCACAGGTCCAAAACGTGAAATTAGGTGGTCACCAAACGTGTCTTTCATTAAATCTATTGTGGCACGAGCTGTGTGGCATGTTGCACCGTCTTGTAGAAACCACATCTCCTGGACATCATGGTTATTCAATTCAGGAATGAAAAAGTTAGTAATCATGGCTCTATACCGATCACCATTGACTGTAACGTTCTGGCCACCATCGTTTTTGAAAAAGTACGGACCAATGATTCCACCAGCCCATAAAGCGCACCAAACAGTCAGTTTTTGTGGATGTAACGGTGTTTTGACATACACTTGAGGATTACTTTACTCCAAATGCGACAGTTTTGTTTGTTGACGTAGCCATTCAACCAGAAGTGCGCTTCATCGCTTAACAAAATTTGCTTATAAAAATTGGGAACAACGGTAATCTCGTTTTGGGCCCATTCGACGAATCTACGCCTTACTTGATGATCGTTTGGCTTCAATTCTTGCACGAGTTGGATTTTGTAAGCACGCAAACCAAGATCCTTTCGCAAAATCTTCCATAAAGTGGATGGACACAGATCCAATTCCTGTGCTCGATGGCGGATGGACTCCTCCGGGTCTTCCTCAATGCTACGCTGTACAGCAGCAAGAGCTTCTTCTGTACGCACCGTACGGCGTCTCTGGGGATGCGAGTTATCAATAAGAGTAAACGTGGTGCGAAAACGTTCCATGGTTAATCGAATTAACTGCTCTGATGGACAATTTTGTCGACGATAAAATGGACGTAGTGCGCGATACGTTTTCCGCACAGAACCATTATTTTCGAAATAAAATTGCAAAATTGTCTATTTATGATGAATTGCCAAACCAAATTAAAAATAAATCACTTGACAGCTGTTAAATCGGTCGCCATCTTGAAAAGTAATGCCAACTTAAAGTTCTATACCTCTATAAAAAACATCTATTACAAATGCAATACGCATATATACAAACGACTCAAAAACCAAAGAAGGCTCAGGATGTGGAGTGTACTCCAGATCACTAAGCCTAGGGATTAAGTGGAGAATAGGAAAAATACCAGCGTGGATCAAACAGAAATGACTGGTATCTCAATCGCCACAAAAGAAATAACTACGAAAGAAATTTCTAGCAGAAACATAACAATCTGCATTGATAGTAGACAAGCTCTATTAGCCTTGAATAGACAACGTGTTACCTCAGGACTGGTACTAGAGTGCCACCAATATTCAGTCAAAGCCTGAGGTGGATTAAATGGCATGACAGAAGTAGCATTGCCGACTCCTTAGCCAAGGAAGCGGCTGGGCTAAGAATTTTAGGACTCGTACGGCCTGATGACTTCGACAGTTGCGGAACTAGCCAAACGTCACATCCATGCTCAGCCTCTAAAGAGATACGATGGAATCAATGGATGCAGTTTTGTCAGGATCACCTTGGGCGACCCTGGGAAGCTGGCGCCGAAGAAATATCTGGCGATGACCAAGAAAAACCTACGCTCAACAGTAGGATTTCTGACTGGCCACTTTCAACTAAGGAAGCACCTCAATATTATGGAGCTAGTGGACACACCTCTATGTAGGATGTGTGAACAGAAAGATGAAACTGTAAGGCATGTCCTATGCGAGTGTCCGGAGTTACCGTGTGTTGGGCGAGTCTTAGCCTACATCAGCCAATATAAAAAAGATGTATCTCAGTTACCTGTCCACCTCCCTGGAAAGGACAGGATGAAGGATGACCTAGGAGGACATCTCGGGAGGTTGTACAATGGGTCACATGTGGCGTAAGTGCTACACACTCACCCTCCCTACTCTACAGAAACAGGACGTCTTGAACAGTTATCAATTGGATATGTGAATTAATTCATTGATAAACTTTTGCTGAAATGTCCTCGATAGTAGTTCAATCTGTTCTCTTTGAAGTCCAACTGATCTTCAAGATAGTGGCCACAATCCAATTATAATAGCCACATTGACAGTAAATATGTGAGATGTGAGTATCAGCCAAATGATATAAAGAAGATTATTGAATTGATTTACTAAAAATCCTTATATGTTTTGAAATTATGTATTACCGGTAAAAGCCATGTGGTTGAATAACATATTGAATAACAATTGCCACTGACAGCTGTCATGTTATTAAGTTTGAAAAAAATTGTTGGTTTGTATATGCCAAAACTATGGAACAAATGAGAACTGTTTTGGTGTAAGTGTGATCAGAGACATCTCCTGTTATATAAGCAAATCAATGGGAAAACCCAATATCAATTGAATCAAATTTGAACTAATTAAATGACAACACGCTTATTGGTTCTGACAATTAATTATTGTGAACCTACGATTTTGTAGGTACATGTGGCAGATACCCGATGGAAAGACAACAACTAACCCAGCTAATGTCACGCAGAAAGCTGAAATGAAACCATCAAGTATCTGTGCAACGTCTTCCAATTGGAAGATTCGTCGCAAGTAACTTCCTACATATGAAAAGCTAAATTCATTTGCATTTGGTCGAGACGACCAGCGATAGACCGGTTTCGGATTACTAGCTCTTCGCCAGTACCGGGAAAACCATGGACACGTGTTTCTGGTTATTGGCCTCCAAAGATGGGCACATTTGTGGTTCCAGTTGGAAAACACTTGGAAAACATCACATATACACGGTGTCATCCGGTGATGTAGGATGTTACATAGGAATGCTAGATGTTCTAACTACAACTACAAATGTGGGGTGGGCTCCAGTTGGTGACCTCGTGCATATTTTGTTTCCCATTTTCATCATATATTCATCTAAATGGAACGGTTACGATACAAGCGGTGACATCTGAAATTTAGCATTTACGATGTTGATGTGTAAAATACCTTGAAACCAAAATTAACAAAAATTAAAACATTACCTGAAGATACACTGGTCTCCGTGTTGATTTTGACAATATCCATAACCGCTGTAGATAATTTGCTGAAACAAGGATTCTCTATAGCATCTGTAGCCTTCAGAAAAAACGCTACCACAGCCAATCCATCGTGTTTATCATGTGCTTCTTGGAAATCAGCATATTTCTTATTGTAATGAACTGCATGTGCCTCCATTGAATACCTGCAAGTAAAACATTTGTTTGACTATTTTATTCTGAACTCAATAATGAAGTCTACTAATATGTAACCCGCCATTTTGTAGCTGCGGCCATCTTGAATCTGCATCCTTTTCGAAGTGTATTACTATTCTACTAGTCAAGCCCTGTCATTTAATACCCACACTGAGGCAGTTGTGAGAAAATATGCAATCCGCCATTTTGTAGCTGCGGCCATCTTAAATTTGCATCTTTTCCAAGAAGTACTACTATTCTACCAGTCAAGCCCTGTCATTTGATACCCATATTGAGGCAGTTGTGAAAAAATGTAAACCGCCATTTTGTAGCTCAGTAATTACTCATTCAGTTCAATCAGAAAAAGCGTCATTTGAATCAGTGCACTGTTGCCAACGTAACACAGGTCAATCAATTCCGTCAGTATAAAAATTTTCTGCTTAAGATTCGATGAAATCGACGAAGGCCATTTTCGCCTGGTTCTGATTGGCGAAGGTGGAAGTGGAAAATCGTTTTGGTTGCGCGAAAGCAAAGAAGAACAGACTTTGAAACTTGACAATTTCTGTCGATCGTTCAAATAGTAGGGTCCCAGTTTTTCAAACTTTCTGACCTTTCCCATACATTTCAAACCATCAAAAACCTCATAGGAGCTGACGCCCAGTTTTTCCGCCATCTCATGCACCATTTGAGATGGGTCAATCACTAGGATCCTCAAATGCTCGTCCTGGACAACTGTAGGTCGACCACTTCAGAGCACTTCTTCGAGACTAAAATTTCTGGAAAAAAATTTCACAAACTACCGTTGAACCGGGGGTTCATCAACACTATTATTTCCAAATGCCTGGTTGATTTTTGAGCTGATTTCTTGATATTGTCAATCGAGTTGGTAACATCAGAAGATGAACTAGATTCATCTCAGAAACTGAAATGATTTTTGTTGGTGAAACAAGTGTCTAGTAGAGTGTTGATGTCCTGTTGTAAGGCAGCAGTGACCATTTTAGACCCTGTATAATATTTCAAACAAATTCGTTACTTTTAATAACGTTTAAGAGCGACTTCAATACAGACTACCATTCGCATGATAGTTTTCTCTTGATTCTTCATAGCCGTTAATGTGCGCTCGTACCTCTCCTTCTTGCACCTACAGAAAACTTATACCTCCCTCTCAACCTCCGTTCGCCTCACCCGATCACAGTTTTGTAACGCCCCCGTCACGCATTCACCAGCTTACTTCCCAAGTCATGCGCGCGTAAACAAGTTTCACTTAAAAAAAGTGGCATCATCAAACAAAAATTATGGAATAACATAACCTCAATGAAATCTCCTTGTGGGAAATGCGTAGATCCCATCTAAGAGTTTCTTGTGGATACAAACTGGAAGAAGACACTTTTTAGAATGAACCACTTCCATACTGGATTACAAGATAATCACTTTTAGTAACGCTACTAAACGTATACTTCGAAGTTTCGAGACAAGACATCTTGTCCACTTTATAATAATAATGATAAGGCACTAAGGCAGAAATCTTAGCCGGACAGATGCAGAAGGCTGTCATTCTTCGCTCACTGCGCTTGCTCAGGGTACATGATTCTCGGATACAATGATCACTCACCCCACGGCATAGGAAGTGGTTGTTGATTGATAATGTTGGTGCGCCCTTCCGAATGTATCAGGGCTTCGAGAGATAGGGCCTGACCAGCGCATAATTCGATATAATAATAATGTTTATTTATCAAAACTCACAATCTTGAAAACAAAATGTTTATATGTAGTAGTACTTGAGAGCTGAATACATAAACAATAAATAATGGCATCACTGAAGAAACAATCGCGAAATTGCTCCTTGTGCGTGATATAGCCTCAACAAATGATAAAAAAATTACAAAAAACATGCATATAGCACAGGGGTCTCCAAACTTTGAAGCCTTCGATCCATAATGATTTTTTCAGTTTGTTCCAATGCCAATTTCTGCCCTTAACTATATTTCTGGACTAGGATAGTCACAAAGTGCGTGACCTAAGCAAACCTACGCTTTTTTTGCATTTCAATTATGATTGTGTATTGTGACACTTAACGACATCTAGTGGCGAGTAGTGGTACTATGTACTATCTTTTTCAGCTACCCGCTAGGTGGCATTAGGCGTAATTAAATATTTAGAATTACCGCGTTGGTTCGAGAAATTTCTGGTTTTAGCTAGTGTATTCCGATCACCTCGATAATTGCATATAAAAAGGCTAGCGGCGCAACTGCGAGTTAGTCTGCGTAGGAAAGGCGAAGGAAGCGAAACTGTCTATTGTGAAATGGAGTTGCACCTGTCAATAAAAGTATTTTGATTTGACTTATTGTTTTTATGTGTGATTTGTTAGTATGGAAAAGAAGCGAAACAACGACAGTGAATGCAGAACGTTCCAAGAAAAATGGAAATTTCAGTATTTTGTGATTGAGTCCAGTAATAAGGTGCTTTGTTTAATTTGTAATGAAACCATAGCTGTGCTCAAAGACCATAACATTAAACGACACTATGAATCGAAACATCTTCAAAGTTACTCCAAGTATACAGGACGTTTGTGGTAGGACAAATTTGAAGCTTTGAAATGCGGACTCAAATCGCAGCAATCTTTGTTTACCAAAGCGAATACTGAACAAGAGTCTGCAACTCGCGCCAGCTTTCGTGTGGCTCTTGAAATCGGAAAACGTGGCAAACCATTCACCGATGGAGAAATNATTATCATTCTGTGTTTTGTTCTTCAACTCATCACAGCAATAGTAAAAACAATTAGGTAATCATTGGCTGTCGCGGGCCAGATTGATGACAGTAAATCATTGGCTGTCGAGGGCCGGATTGATGACACTGGCGGGCCGGATTTGGCCCGCGGGCCGTTGTTTGGAGACCCCTGATATAGCACATAACACAATATTCAAAATCTCACAATGATAGGTAAAAACTTCACATCTATGTCAATTGAGTAACACGATCGGTTTGAAATCTCAGTGAACATAATATTCATATATCACATTACAAATTATCTAAATGTCACCAATAGATGTTTAACAGTTTTATGCAAGGTATCTTGCGGTTTTTACAGTGGAATGATTTTTTGGAATATATCTCTGTCATAACTATTTAGCGAATTCTTTACTTGTTTCTTAAACTCAACGTTATTTCGACTAGTTTTTATGGTTTCAGGCAGTGAAAGTTTTTGGACCCAGATAGCTGCAGTGCTTCTGTCCCACTGTTTTGGAACCACAACACTGTTTTTGTCTCCTAGTATTGTGTGGGTGATCTGAGCGTGTTATTTTAATTTAATTAATTCAATTTTTGTGTATTTTCTGCAACAATTATTTTGGCAATAGAGTTGTCTAACATCGAAAATTGCACTTTCCCTGTGAAATTATGGCTTAGAAACATCCTTCCTTTGCCCAAGATGACTTTAAGATTTTTTTTTGTAGAATATTGAGGCCAATTTGCCTATTATGCCGTATGAAAGTTGGAAATGAACTTAACTATAATATGCAGTTGTCAAATGGGTGATATCAAGGTATTATTTCAAGAGTTTGAATCTTGATATGAATCTCCAAAGTTTATTTGTGAAATACGATGTATCTATATCCCATTTCAAATGTCTGTCAATTTTCATACCAAGGTATTTAATGGAGCAGGCTTCAGGAATTGATATATTCTCGTTCAATGTTCAATGGCCCTATATTGGTATAAGAGGGGTAGGGTAAGTATTTGGTCTTTTTCGCATTCAAAGTTAGTTTATTATATTGAAACCATTAATTTATATTGTTGAATGATGGAGTACTACAATATTGACTATATTGACAATATTGACTACTTGTTTTCGGTTTGAGAGATACGATTTCAATAGATCCTGCGGCTCACCGCGGATGCCAATTTTTTTCCATCTTTGAAATCTGTAACTCTAACAAACTTTAGTGGAAGAGCAGAGACAATTGCGGGTTCAAAAAAATAATGTAGAAGTGACATTCAGACCACATGACAGGTTATCTAATTTCTTTTTAATGCCAAAGATGAAGTGAACAAGATGGAGAAATCTGGAGTTTACAGGCTTAAGCGTCCGGAGTGTAACAGTGTTTATGTGGGACAACGTGGCCGAAATTTCTCACAACGGTATGCTCAACATGAAAGGTCCTTCAGACTAGGTAAAAATTATTCGATGTTTTCAAACCATTCCTTGGAATGCAACCACAACTTTCCGAATCTAAACGATACGAAAATTTTACACTATGTAAGCGAAGGTTGGAAAATCAATTATTTGAAATCCTTGGAAATTCATAAGCATGAGCATTAGGAATGTAATCTGCTAAATGATTGAATCGATCCAGTTTACGACGCCAGTTTTCAAATTAGCGTATCCACAATGTCACAGGTAAACAAATTTCAGGTACTCAATTGAGTTAATATTCTTTATTATTACCTACTATAGATATACAGCGTGACTCATGGTAGATGGCAGGTTAGACGTTTCTGGAAAACACAAAACATGATTTTTCTGAAAATTTCACCTCTCACATTTCCTTACCTGTTCTATCGATCTAAAATATTTTCAGCATTGCGGCGTTGCCACTTCCTTCAAAAAGTCCTAGCAACTTTATTTTTTTAAATAGAACACCCCGTATATTAATACATTTTTGGAATCGCTCTGGTATTTCAATACTTTTTTGTCAATAATGTCCTATACCTATCTCTATCTGTTTTCGAGATGAAAAATAAATTGTGCTAAATATGGTCCAAAACATAGCCTTAATTGAAATTAAGTATATTAGTACTCTCAATTTATGTTTGATGATAGTTTGGATAAACTCGAATTATTCAAATAACACCAAGAAATCGACTCTATATCATACAGGGCGTGCTAAAATTACTATTATTTCCATTGTGCATAAAAAAGTCAAAAGATCATTTTTTCAAATGAAACCCCCTGTATATTACTCGGTAAATTGAAAGATGGTGAAAAATGCTTCAAGATGATAGATCATGACCC